GTGAAGCCCTCATCCTTGTCGTCTCCTGTGTAGGACCAAAGTCCAGCCACCAGACACTTCTGGCAACATTCCAGGACTCCCGAACCCCCCAAGGTGGTCTCGGTGGCTCAGCATCTCAGGACTGAGATCTTGAGATCCGACAACTTGTGGCTCACACACCCCTTCCTCTATAATACCTAGCCAGCCCTGGTTCTGGTCTCCCTGTCCTTGAACTAGACTTAACTCTAAGGCTTATTTCTAAAAGCATATCTATTTTTTACTTTAGTGTTTTAACTCCAACCAGATCAGCCAGGCTGTGGAACATGGTGCAGAATATGGTATTTAATAAACCCTAGCCTAGAAGATTAATAGGATCACTGTTTGCTGGCACAATAAAGGATTTTTTCCATCAACAGACCTGTCTGGACCAAAATTGCTGTACGGAAGCTGTGACGGGTTATCAGCTGCAGCGACAGACTCCCGTTTCCTACATCAAAAAGACAGTTCTGAAATCCAGACATGTCACCTTCTAAATTTTTGATTACTTCCTATGCAACAAAGAAACAGCACGAATTAGTCAGTGCTGAATTTAGACTGGTGCCATTCAGCAGCTGCCAGTGCATGAGCCTGTGGGTTCTGAGCAATAAGCAACGAACTCTGTGCTCCCCTGTGAACTTCACACAGGCTAAGAAGACCTTAAGACCTTCTGGAGCAGTACTGGGTCAGCCACAGCTCTGCCCATTCCCTACCCTAAAAGTATTCCTGAATACTAAAGAGAAATGCATGACAATACCAACAGTCTTTCTTTCTGAATAGGTTTGAAGACATGTAAGTGAATAAGATTATTTTTATCCCACAAAGGACAGGAATAATTCCTGCACATTCTTGCAAGCAGCCAAACCAACAGACTTCCTTTAGAGGCTGTTGCCATGGCACCTGTCCAATGTCCATGCCATCTTCCAGATTTCTGGGATTTAGTGAGAAAGAAAGAGCAAAGGACGCACTAGATAAAAGGCACACAGCAAGGATGCTGGGAGAAATATGTCTTCAGTTAAGCCTGTACAATGTATTCATACTATTTAAGTGGTTTGTTTTGTTTTTTTTTTTTTTTTCCTGAATGGTATTTCATCCACAGAACACAGTGATTTCTATTCTGATTTCTGGTAAGGAGGATGGAATTGCTATAAAATATCTTAATTGAGTCAAGTCAGAGTAAAGTTAATTTTACCTAAATTCAGCTACCTATGTGCCCAGCCTAATGGGCCTGCCTAGTTCTCTCTTAGAATTCATGGAAGAAGGGTTCCTCCCAAGGATCATTTCTTCACCCTCCTTCAGACACCTAATTTAATATGGGATGATTTACCATTTGGAACCCATCTCTCCTTTTTAACTACTGCAGGACCATGGATAGAGTAAATGTCTGGATTTCATGTGAGGTAAAATTAATACAGGCAAGGACTTCTGTTATTTCAGAAAGAGAAATTGCCACCCAAAAATGAGAGAACTGAGTGAATAGCCTGAGCCACACGTTTTTGGGTCTGGAAGCCATGCTGCTGAAGTCAAAATGGCTTTTTCCCCCATCCCCCAACCTTACCAGAGGTCAAAGGCCTCCCACTACATAAATTAGCACCAAAAGAATTCAACAAGGGGCTGGACTCCAAAAGAAATGAGGACAAATCACTATTTAGACAACCATAAGAACATGATTTGTCCAGGAGTGAAAATGCAGCAGGTCAGACACAGCTTTACTAATTGGGGGACTGTGCTGTGGGACTACCCCTTTTTCTGATCAATGAGCTCCATGTCACAGGGGTTCAACTCATTCATAGTGGGAGGGTGGCTCACAGTTTGTTGGCTTATGATGGGCCCAGCCAGCTGTGATTGGGAAAAGCTGCATTTTTAGTCAGTAAACAAGGATTGAAATCTAGCCTACCAGAAAAAGATATTCTTTCATCAAGTACTGTAAGACAAGTTACATAATTCTACCATCAAAGACAAATAAACTGGCTATAGCATCAATATCTGGCTCTGTTTGGGATGACAAGGTAATGATCTGGTAATAAGGTACACATAAATTTCTCCAATTTCCCCTGAAATGAACTCTCTCAAGATAAAATTGTGTATAGACTGTAAGTCTACTGAAGAAGCATAGTAGGCAGGCATGTGAGAATTTAAATAGCAGATTTTCAGAGAATAACAGAACCTGTTGATTTGGAAGGGACCCACAGGAATTATCAACCAATTCTTGGCCCTGCACAAGACTACCTCACACAATGTGTCTAGAGCATTGTCCTGATGCCAATGTCCAAATATTTCTGGGACTCGGCCTAGATACGGTGACCATGTCCCTCTTCTGTGCCCACGATGTCCATTGTAACACTTGATCTCAGGCAGACTGTGTAGCTCCATGGAGGGGTCTGGGGGAGGGCATGGACAAACAGAGAGTGCAGGACAGCCCGTTCTTCAAGGCAGCTTACTTTGAAAGTCGTGTATTACAGGCAGGAGTACCCTGTGCCTGAATTTTACTCATAAAAACTCACCCATTAGACCTTATTGCTCTCTACAACTACTGAAAGGAAGGTGTAGTGAGGTGAAGGCTGGTCTCTTCTGTGCTTACACAGAGGAGAACAAAAAATGGTGTGAAACTGAGAGATGGGAGATTCATGTTAAAAATTTTGTCACTGCTCGGGTTGCCAGAAATTGGTTACCAGGAAGGTGGTGGAATCGCTGTCCCTGGAGGGGTTCAATAGGCGTCTGTGTTTGGCATTGGGTGATGTAGTTTACGGGCTTAGGGTTACAGGCATAGCGCTGGGCGGACGAGTGGACTGTATGGCTTTGTAGATCTCCAAAATCGGTGAGTCTGTGATTCTGTAAAAGTAACTCCAACTGTGGCTGCGAGCAGGGTCAGGACTTGGAGCTGAGCCACTCGCGTGGCACCGCGACCGCTGCTAC